GCACCTATAGTCCCAGCTACTTGGGAGGCTGAGGTAGGAGGATGGCTTGATTGCAGGAGGCAGAGGTTGCAGTGAGCCAAGATCCAACCACTGAACTCTAGACCAGGCAATAGAGGCAGATCCGGTCTCAAAACAAACCAACAAACAAACAAAAAATAAAGTCCAAACTCCTTAGCATGGCATCATGGTATATGCTTTCCTTAAAGACCTCTGGCTAGTTAACCAAAATTCATTAACATCCATATATTCACAAACATCTTTCCCTTCTACCACTCTGAAATTTCTGCAGCAACTCCAGAGTGCCATATTCTCTTCTGTCTCCATGCCTTTGTATGTGCTATTCCATAGACTTCACATTCTTTAAATTCTGCTCAAGTATTACATTCTCCCAGATGCCTTCCCTGAAACTTCCTTAGGCCCTATGCTGTCATAAAACTCTGTACATACATCTATTACTATATGTATCACTATCTTCGGTTTTTCTGCTATTCTCCACACTTCTTCTCGAACATGCTTAGGATGACGCCAGGCGCGGTGCTCATGCCTATAATCCCAGCACTGTAGGCAGGAGGGTCACTTGAGACTAGGAGTCTGAGACCAGCATGAGCAACATAGCAAGATTCTGTTTCTATAAAAAATTTTGTTTTAATTAGCTGGACACGGTACCATGCCCATAGCCCTAGCTATTTGGGAGGATCACTTAAGCCCAGGAGGTCATGGCTGCAGTGAGCCAAAGTCCCAACACTGCATTCCAGCCTGCATGACAGAGAAAGACCTTGTCTCTCTCCCCACTTTTTTTTTTTTTTTTTTTTTTTAGACACAGTCTTGCTCTGTCGCCCAGGTTGGAGTGCAGTGGCACAATCTCAGCTCAACGCAACCTCTGCCTCCTGGGTTTAAGCGATTCTTCTGCCTCAGCCTCCCAAGTAGCTGGCCCTACAGGCGCACACCACCACGCCCAGGTATTTTTTGTATTTTTAGTAGAGATGGAGTTTCACCATGTTGGCCAGGCTGGCCTCGAACTCCTAACCTCGTGATCTGCCTGCCTTGGCCTCCCAAAGTGCTAGTATTGCTAGTATTACAGGCATGAGCCACCTCACCCAGCCTCTCTTTTTAAAAAAATAGAGACATTGTTTCACTACATTGCCCACTTTGGTTTCCAACTCCTGGGCTCAAGTAATTCTCCCACCTCAGCCTCCCAAAGTGCTGGGATTACAGGTGTGAGCCACCACACTCACCCAGATACTTTGTCTCTTTAAAAAAAAAAAAAAGTTCAGCTAGAATAAGTGTCTGTAAATCATGATGCTCTTTGTGGAATAATTCGCTCTGTAGAATCACCTAGGAACATATGTATTACCAGGAACTACTGAAACCACCTTTGCAAAGATTGTAACTGTAAGTAAAAGAGATCTCACCTAATCAACTCCATCTTGCCTTTAACCTCCAAACTGCCCTTGGTCATTCCTGGATGCAGCCCAAGCTAACTTTGGGAGAAATTTAGTTTATAGTGTAACCTTAAAGCAAGAAGGATAATAGCCCTTCCCGAAACTAAATCACCTTTGCAAAACTAAAGAAAGACTATAAGGTTAGGATTATGAGAGGGGCCTGAATTCCGCTAAAATGTAGGTAGTTAAATGATAACCAGACATTATTCTGGAAGTCACAGATTTGTAACTTCCCCAATTACTCCTGTAAATAATTATCACTATTGTAGAACCTAAAAAAGGCCTTTTGAGATGTCTTTTCAGACTTTTGCATTTCGGATGACTCCAACTGGTCCTCTGGCCCCCACCTCTGTAACGGCATCCCCAACGAACCAGCAGCACCCATTCCCTAGTCCCCAGCCTGTCAAACTGTCCTTGATAAACCCTAAACTCTGTATGTTTGGGGAGGCTGATTTGAGCAATAATAAAACTCTGCTCTCCGATTTAGCCAGCTCTACATAAACTCCTTATTGCAATTCTCCTGTCTTGATAGATCAGCTCTATCTGGGCAGCGGCGAAGAAGAACCCATTGGGCAGTTACAACATGCTTATATACACTCTCTCAAATCCTATGATCACATGAGCTTTTGAATTAAGCCCTACTACATATTTTTTGATTTTGCTACTTGTTCATGCACTTTTGAGTAGGCACCAAATTTTTAAGAAAAAATCAACTTGAGAACATTTTATCCACTAACCTTTTAAAATCCTTTCACCATAAATTGAGAAATGCCCAATTAGTCCACTTTAAGAGAATTCCTCTTTAAGAATAGTTTGATAAACATTGATTTGGAGGGTTAGAACACTGTTTCTTTCTTTTATCTCACCTCAAATCTTACGGAAGTTTATTTTGCTATACTGAAAATCTGTAAAACTTTATTTCACTTAAAAAAACTTTTGATAATTAAAAAAAAAAGACACATAATCCTGTTAGCGAGAAATGGATTTTATAGGTCTTTTCAGACATAAACAGCATGGTTTTTACAGATCTTTTTATGTCTGGAAAAATCTCTAAAAATCACTTCTGGATGACAGGATTATGTATCTTTTACATTTTTTATGATGAAAAATTTCAAGCACACTCAAAGTAGGGACACTAATATGAATCCTCATATACCCGTATTTCAGTATGGGTTCTGATTATGAAGACTACCACATAACTATTATTTATATAATTTTTGCTTATTATGTACTTTCAATTTTCCCCCCACCATAAATACATTGCAGTAGAAAAAGAAAGTTATTTTTAGCTTAAATGATTCAAAACTATGAACTTCCTTTCTCTTATATGATTAGTCCATCTCTTAAAATTATCAGGCCTGAGTAGAACAGCTCTGTTCATTTTAATAAGGATTAACCCACTGGGGGAAAAAAAAAGAAAGGCATTTTAAAAAGAAGAAAAAATATTATTCTAGACAAGAGTCAGAAGAGGGCCAGGTGCAGTGGCTTACTCCTGTAATCCCAGCACTTTGGGAGGCCAAGGCGGGCAGATTACCTGAGGTCAGAAGTTCAAGAACAGCCTGGTCAACATGGTGAAACTCTACTGAAAATACAAAAAAATTAGTCAGGCATGGTGGCCGGCACCTGTAATTCCAGATATTCAGGAGGCTGAAGCAGGGGAATCACTGGAACCCAGGAGGCGGAGGTTGCAGTGAGCTGAGATCACACCACTGCACTCCAGCCTGGGAGACAAAAGCAAAACTCTATCTCAAAAAAAAAAAAAAAAAAAAAAAAGAGAGAAGAGGAAAGGTAAGAAGGGAAGGGAGAATGAAGAGAACTGAATACACAAGTGGTTGGGGGGACCGGGGGGTTATAACAAAAAAGTAAAAGGGGTGTGTTAACTGTTCTAGAGGGAAAAGGAAGGCTAGCTTTGCACAAACAGTAAACACTGATGTCAATAATAAAGTCAGAAGTTTGTAACTTGAAAAAAATCTCTATTATAGATGTGTCATTTGAATAAGAATAGAATTTGCTTCATTTCCAATAACGTTCCAAATGTATCCTGCCTATCCTTCTTGTGGGTAAACTGGCAGTATCTTTTTCTGGATGTCATACAGGTACCTCAAAAGTTCAAGCTGCCCCGAAATAACTCATTATCTTACCTCCTTATTTTTTTATTCTCCTTTAATCCCTTTTCTGATTAATAGCACCACCATCCAAACCAGCTGCTCAAGCTAAAACCTGACAATAATTTGCAACTCCCACTCCCATCTTTAAACAAGACCTACAGAATTCCACTTTCTACCTCTCAAATCTGTTACCTGCTTTTCTCACTATCCCTGTCTTAATTCAGATCATCATCATCTCCTGCAGTGACTCCCGTAATAAAGGATTTTCCCCCTACAAGGATCTTCCCTATCTAGCCCAAACACTGGATTACTTTTCTAAAATGCAAATGATCCACATCATTCCCTTCCTCAAAAATATTCCCTTGAAAAGATCCGAATTCTTTAATTACACAGAGCTTTCTAACTTCACCTCTCAATTCTTCTTACTCTCCCTCTATTCAGTCTAGTCACAAAGAAATGCTTAAGTGTCTTTAAATCCACCACTCTTTCGTACCTCTACGTCTTTATCTTTGCCTAGGATACATTTCCTATCCCCACTCTCCACCCATTTTTTATCAATAGCATTAAAGAAAGGGCTCCTGACTTGAGCACGACTTTGGACTATTTCTAAAATCCGTTACAACTCCATGATTCTACCAGCCAATACTCAAGTGTTAACTACTCCTTAAATCACTATTCCCTAAAGACTGTGAGGCAGAAGTTTTATTTTATTTATCTAGCAGTGTCAGCAGCGACAGGCCCACAATGACTGAATAAGGATTCCCACATATTAGAAGTAACCGCTACATACTATCACATTTCGGATTAAGTTAGATTAAAAAAAAAAAAAAAGTAATCTCTACAACTCTACAAGGATGGGGCCATTGTTCCATTCACTACTACATCCCTGGCACCTAGAACTAGCTCTGACATAACGGGCACTAAATAAATACTTTCTGAAATAATTAATTTGTGTTCCCTAATTATCCTAACGCCTGCAAACTTTCCCCTGCAAACTCAACCTTCATTAGGCTTCAGTTCTCAAATTGTGTGGAGTTGCACTGAGCATTAGGAATGAGGAAGGAAGGACAGGTCTGTCCAGTGCAAGGCTGAAGTGCTGGAGGTGCCAGCAAAACTAAGTAGGAGTGTCAAAATCAGCTCTGCAGTTAACCCTCCCGTAAACAATGGCAGGGACAACACTAAAAGTACCAAAATCTGTGGGGTGTAAGACAAACGTACGGAAGTAGACAAAAAGGAATCAAATGGAAGATACGAAAGAGAAAACGATGAAAGATGACGGTTCAAAGGAGACAACTGACAAGTTCCAGGGTTTAGGATACCTGGAGGTGGACCATTTTCTGTACACCTCGGGAGGCATCGGGTGGCATGGGACAGGGGTTGAAGGAAAGCACTGAGGGCAAACAAGGTGTGTCACCGCAAAAGGACCGCAAGGACGTGTGGCAGCACTCACCACCTCCCCCTGCTCCGCGGACTTGTACACTCCAGACACCATCTCGTTATGGAGAAGCAAAAACAACGCCTCATCCGCCATTTCCTGCTAATTCTTCCAAGCTCCGAGTTTTGGCTCCCGCTTGAGCTGGTCTGGGGATTCCGGCTAGCGCCTTGAGCTACCTGGCCGGCGCCGCGACTCCATCAGGCCGCCATTCTGTCCCTGTGGCTAAGAGACCGAGGTATTCACACAGCTTCCCAAAGGCTGGTACTGAAGTGAGTCTGGTACTGGAGACAGCCCACACTCCGGGGCTACCAAGTGCTAGGGGCCGAACGAAAAGTTTGACACGAGCTCTAACCCAAGCGAACCAGCTAAGATGCGATCTGGCCGCTGGGCGGGGGCAAAAAAAAAAAAAAAAAACCAACTTCCGGTCCCCTCTACCCCGGCATTTGGCCAGCTCTATGATCACTGAGTTCCTCTCTCCCAAGCCCAAAGAGGCCAGCGCCCGGAAATGAGGAAGGTTCCCCTCCCACCACGATGTCCGGGGCCGACCAAGATAAGATTTAGAGAGCTTCCGCCTGGCCCTGGCACGGTGGCTCACGCCTGTAATCCCAGCATTTTGGGAGGCCGAGGCTGGTGGATCACCTGAAGTGGGAAGTTCAGACCAGCCTGAAAACCCCGTCTCTACTAAAAAAACAAAATTAGCCGGGCCTGGTGGTGCATGCCTGTAATCCCAGCTACAGGCATGCGCCTGGCATGAGTCTGAGGCAGGAAAATCGCTTGAACCCGGCAGGCGGACGTTGCGGTGAGCTGATATCGCGCCACTGTCCCCCAGCCTGGGCAACAAAAGTGAAACTCTGCCTCAAAAAAAAAAAAAAAAAGAGCTCCCGCGGCCACCTTCGTGTTAATTAGCAATAGAAGTTAAAAAAATTCACAAGAATTTCTATTGGCTTCATCAAAAGCATTCACTTCTCGCCATATGTTCTTCAAATATGAAAAGTTGTAAAAAGTTTAAAATATCATAAATTTTCAGAGTTCAAATTTTTTAAATATTGAGAAGTTATCCCAATTCCTATTGAATTAAGCCCGGGTATACAAAAAGAATTAGAGCCATTTTGACCACCAGGAATTTTCCTGTTAGTGGGGTGCAACGGACAAGGGAAGTGGAGCAAGCGAAAAACAAGATACACTTGAACCGGAAAATACAGACTAATCAGAGGATTAGGTGAAAAGTGCTACAGAATTCAGAAAAGCGATGTCACTGCAGGATGGAGTTCCTAATCATTTACAGCAGTGTGAGACAGCTGTAGGAATTGTCTCACTGCATATGCAAATAAATATACATGCTACATCATAATATGTACATCTTAAATTTAGCAAATTCAACATTAAGCATGTTGCTTAGCCTGTGATTAGTTCTTTCCTTGGTAATTCACAAAACAAATTTTTTTCCCCAATTATCCCAGTTGTTTTCCCCCAAATTAACATTTTGGGTTTTCTCAAATTGTTTTTTTTGTTTTTTTTTTGAGACGGAGTCTCGCTCTGCCGCCCAGGCTGGAGTGCAGTGGCCGGATCTCAGCTCACTGCAAGCTCCGCCTCCCGGGTTCACGCCATTCTCCTGCCTCAGCCTCCCGAGTAGCTGGGACTACAGGCGCCGCCACCTCGCCCGGCTAGTTTTTTGTATTTTTTAAAGTAGAGACGGGGTTCACCGTGTCAGCCAGGATGGTCTCGATCTCCTGACCTCGTGATCCGCCCGTCTCGGCCTCCCAAAGTGCTGGGATTACAGGCTTGAGCCACCGCGCCCGGCCTCAAATTGTTAACAATAACTTCTCAACTTTTCATGCCTGAGCCGGGCGCCGTGGCTCATGCCTGTACATTCCAGCACTTTGGGAGGCGGAGGCCTGGGGAGGATCACGAGGTCATGAGTTTGAGAGCAGCCTGGCCAACATGGTGAAATCCCGTCTCTACTAAAAATAAAAAAATTAGCCGGGCTTGGGGGCAGGTGCCTGTAATCCCAGCTACTCGGGAGGCTGAGGCGGGAGAATCACTTGAACCCGGGAGGCGCAGGTTGCAGTAAGCAGAGACTGTGCCACTACACTCCAGCCTGGGCGACACAGCAAGACTTCATCTCAAAAGCAAAACACACACACACACACAAACTCTTCATGCCCTTTCACAGGAATTTAAGATCATGTTCCAAAATTTTAATTGTGGTAGGTTTTTTTAAAAACACGTCCCTTCTAATATTTGAATCAGTTTATTCCATTCATCACATAAATCCAGTATAAAACTTCCACGTAAGCCTTTGAAAACACTAAATTGTCTAATTTTGAGGAGTATTTTGCAACAGTAATCTTAATTTTTCCAGCACTAAATTTTCCCTTATGTGAAATCAGGTCCTTTATGTGTAGATTACATTCTTGCCCTCATCACTACCACCAAGAAAAAGGTGTCCAAGTTCACCACACAAGTCAAAAAGTAAGTAATTGGCCAATTTGTCAAGGTTGACTTCTCCAACCACAATAACGTGAGGCTTTTAAAGTATGTTTTTGGATAGAAAGGAAACTGATATTTAATAAGGACCCACTAACTATTGAACACAACATCCTACTGATCCTTCTTCATAAAGTTAAATTGCCAAGGCTCCTAGGAATAGATCCTATGGAAGCAAGGAGAGAGGGAGAGAGAGAGTGTGTGTGTGTGCGTGTGTGTGTCACAGAGACAGTTTTGCTCTTATTGCCCAGGCTGGAGTGCAATGGCACCATCTCAGCTCACTGCAACCCCCACCTCCCGGGTTTAAGTGATTCTCCTGCCTCAGCCTCCCAAGTAGCTGGGATTACAGGCATGCACCACCACGCCCAGCTAATTTTGTATTTATAGTAGAGACGGGGTTTCTCCCTGTTGGTCAGGCTGGTCTTAAACTCCCGACCTCAGGTGATCCACCCTCCTTGGCCTCTCAAACTGCTGGGATTACAGATGTGAGCCACTGTGGCCGGCTGTGTGTGTTTTGTTTTGTTTGAGGCAGAGTCTCACTGTTGCCCAGGCCAGAGTGCAGTGGCAAGATCTTGGCTCACTGCATGCAACCTCCAGCTCCCGGGCTCAAGCAATTCTGCCTCAGCCTCCCAAGCAGCTAAGACTACAGGCGCTTGCCACCATGCAGGACTAATTTTGTATTTTTAGTAGAGACAGGGTTTTATCATGTTGGCCAGGCTCGTCTCAAACTCCCAACCTCAAGTGATCCGTCCACCAAGACCTCCCAAAATCCTGGGATTACCAGTCCAACCATACATGGAAACATTCTTACACTTGCTGAATAGGCTCTACTATTATCACACTCTCATGCCTCAGGTATTGCCTAAGGTTGAACACAGATCTGTAATAAGATCAATAAGGCTAAGTATGCTCACAATCAGAATTAAATAATTGTCAATCTTCTTCCCTGTTATTCATCTCTACATTTTTTTCCTTCTATAGTACTTTCTGCTTTCTAACATGCTATACAATTTATTTATTTATTTACTTATTTATTTATTTTTGAGATAGAGTCTCACTCTGCTGCCCAGGCTGGAGTGTAGTGGCACAATCTCGGCTCACTGCAACCTTCACCTTCCAGGTTCAAGCCATTCTCCTGCCTCAGCCTCCCGAGTAGCTGGGACTACAGGTGTGTGCCACCACACCCAACTAATTTTGTATTTTCAGTAGAGACGGGGTTTTGTCATGTTGGCCAGGCTGGTCTTGAGCTCCTGACCTCAGATGATCAACCCACCTCAGCCTCCCAAAGTGCTGGGATTACAGGTGCGAGCCACCATGCCCAGCCAATGTACTTATGTTTATAATCTGTATCCACAATTCCTCCCGTGAAGCTTTTTCAGAGATAACTTTTTTTTTAGAGACGGGTCATGCTCTGTAGCCCAGGCTAGAATGCAGTGGTGTGATGACAGCTCACCGCAGTCTCAAACTCCTGGACTCAAACAATCATCCCGCCTTAGCCTCCCCAGTACAATTTTTTAAATTTTTATTTTGAGAGACAGGATTCTTGCTATGTTGCCCAGGCTGGTCTTAACTCCTGGGCTATAGCGATCCTCCCACCTCAGTCTCCCAAGTATCTGGGATTACAGGCACAATCCACTGGACCTGCTCAGAGATCTTTATTGTACACTGGTATACCCAAGTGCCTAGAATAGCACCTGGCACATAGTGGGCACTCAGTAAGTATTTGTTGAACTAATGAATGATCATTGCTCTTCTGGAAGCCTACAAAATCCACAGAAGCAGGAATCACAACTATCTTGTTCTAGGCTTTATTTTCAAACCCTAGCTTACTGCTGATACACAATGGAAGCTCTAAAAGATGACTGGATTAAAGTGGTAGCTTGAGTTAATTAATACACCGGGCCCACTAATGCTTTGTACAAGGAAGATAGATGCCTGGCTGAGATTATTTATTAACAATGCTTTGTTTCTGTGGGAAAGTGTTTTGGTTTTTTTGTTTGTTTGGGACACAGTCTCACTCTGTCACACAGGCTAGAGTGCAGTGGTGCAATCTCGGCTCACTGCAACCTCCTCATCCGGGGCTCAAGCTATCCTCCTGACTCAGCCTCCCGAGTAGCTGGGATTACAGGCGTGCACCACCACTCCCGGCTAATTTTTGCATTTTTAGTAAAGGCGGGGTTTCAACATGTTGGCCAGGCTGGTCTCCAGCTCCTGGCCTCAAGTTATCCACCTGCCTCAGCCTCCCAAAATGCTGGGATTACGGACATGAGTCACTGTGCCTGGCCTGTGAAAAAACTGTTTTCTGAGCTTCCATTTGTGTATACATATATTTATAGAACAAAACTGGTTCCCACACTGGCAGTGCAGGTAGGGCAGAACCAGAAGCAGGACAACACACACAGACACCACTAACAATAGGGCCGCTCCCTTAGGCCTGGTCTTAACCAGCTCTAGGCCAGGTGAAGAGGCTAACTCAACCATGACTGCCTGTCTGTCTCGCTATTGCTTTCTTTTCTCTAGTATAGATGCTCAGGGTCTAATCAGAGACTGATTCTCAACTGGCGCGACCAAGGGACAGTTATATTATCTCCAGTCTCAATTTCCTTATCAGTAATAACAGGCATTTTTATCCACACTTTTAGTTTGTGAGGAATAAGGCACGTAGAGGGTTTCACAGAGGGTCGGGAACAAGATCAACCCCTAACCAATGTTAGTCATTATGATTAATGACTTTTCCTAGTTTTTATTTTTGTCTTCCTTCTGCTCACTTTAGCCTAATCAGGGTGGGCGTGGTGACTCAAGCCTGTATTCCCAGCACTCTGGGAGGTAGAGGCGGGCGGATCACCTGAGGTCAGGAGTTCGAGACCAGACTGCCCAACATGGTGGAATCCGGTCTCTAATAATACAAAAATTAGCCAGGCGTGTTGGCAAGCGCCTGTAGTCCCAGGTACTCGGGAGACTGAGGCAGGAGAATCGCTTGAACCTGGGAGGCGGAGGTTGCAGTGAGCCGAGATGGTGTCACTGCACTCCAGCCTGGGCGACAGAGCGAGACTCCGTATGAAAAAAAAAAAAAAAATTAACCTAATAGAGGAAAGCACGCGCCCACCCCCTCTCTGAGCATGCGCACCAACAGAATAGCCGCGCCC